GGGGGGGGGGGAAACAAAAGGAGGGGAAGAGAAAACCAGAGCAAACACGCAATGGGGTAGGAATGTATACACACTAACACACACGTCTGTATTGTACGGAGCGACCACCCGCTCCTTGCGCCTCACCAGGGAGGCGGTGAGGCGCGTCATCTATACCACGTGGGGTGCATCTCCTCCAGCTGCTCCCGCAGGCACCGCACCCGCGGCGCCTTGTACGGGGGCTCGCGCACGACCAGCACCGTGTGGTACGCCAGCGCCGCGAGGACGGCGATGGCAAGAACGAGCAACGCGACGATGCGGACGGGGAGGAAGTAGTCCACTACCGCCGCGTCGGGCAGCAAGCGGCGCTCCCTGTTGTACGACGTCGGCGGCAGGGGCGGCGGCACAGGGTCGTGCGGTGCGGAAAGAATGCAGCCGTACACGGCGAACGGCAGCGACAGGAAGGCGGCTCCGATGGGAATCGCGAACCGCGGGCACACGTACGACCCCACGAGGGCCCCGACAATGCTAAAGGTGGAGACGACGAGAATGGCAAAGGTGCCATCACCGACTCCGAGAATCATCTTAATCGCTGCACGCACCACGCAGCAACGGCGTGACGCATGCGCCGCTACGCAAAGAAAAAGAATGGAAAGCCGGCACTCGTCAAGTGCGTGGAACAGCAAAGATACAACAATGAACAGCCCCCCAGGCGGCAATATAACATGAGGGTTGCACTGGTGTGGAAGAGAGAATGAAGGAGGAGCACATATACATAAGAAGACAATAACAAACAAAAAACATCAATGCTACCATGCACTCTCTCTCTCTCTCTCTTCCATCATTCCGATGCTCTTCGTCACACAGAGACACACAAACAAACAAACAAAGAAGAAATTCTGCCAAGTTGAGCAAAACTCACAACGTGACATAGACCTCTCTAGTGCAGTGAAGCGACATATATCTTTCCATATTTACATGCAAAGATCCCAGTACTTGAAATAATCCTCATCCACTGCATTTGTATATAGTTCATCTAGTTGCTTTTGGCGAGTTTTTGACGCTTCTTTCTGTTTCTGCTGCTCGGCAGCAACCGCCTCCCGTTCAGCACGGCGCTCACGCTCCTTTTGTCTTTCCAAAGCGTTGGCCATACGCAGCTGTAGATTGTCCTGCTGTGCCCATTGTTTCTCCTCCTCCACATCCAGCAGACGGCGGCGCCGCATCGCGTCACGCTGCATTGCTTGATCGCGCAGCAACTGCTCCCTCTGTTCTGCCGTCATTCCCTTGTATCGTTCTGCCTTGACCTTCTTGCCGAGGTCACTCACCATTGTTTCCGTCTCATTAAGGAAGTCGCCCTCCATGTGGTAGCGAATCTCTTCTAGTCCTTTAACGGTGTCCTCCTCCTTGTCACGGATAGCCTCACGACGTTTTTGCTCCGCAAGTGCCTTGTTAAATTCCGCCTGGTTCCTCTGAATAATTCGGCGCTGGTCGGCGATGTTCCGCTCTACATCATAAACGCGGTGATTGACCTCTTCGTTGCGCTCGTCAAAAATGCGATTCGCCTCCTGTTCCATCCACTTCTTTGCGAGCTTCTCCTCCACCTGCTGCTGAGCCCAGTCCCGCTGCTGGCCCTGCTGAACTCGGCGGCGGTTCTTGAAGTCCAAGTCCTCCCCTTCGAACTTCTGAAGCGACGAAATACCGGTGCGTGGATCATCATCACCGACGCGAATGGGCAAGTCCCTTGACTTCCAGTTGGGATCGTTGAGGTCCCACTCCCGGCGCATTTCTTTCTTCTGGAACGTGTCGCGGTAATCCTGCAACTCCTTCTCGCGTGTTGTGCGAATCTCATTCACCTCCTTTTGAAGCGCCTGCGCATGGCGGTCCATCAACAGCGCCTGGCGGTCGTAGAACTCGTTGCGCTCACTCTCGAGCCGTCGCAGGGCCTCCTTCTCGCGAACCTGCTCATCGAGGGCTTGTTTGTCGATCCCCATGTGCCGCACCTTCGGGTCCCGAAGGCGCTCCGCACGCTGCATCATGAAAAGGTGCTTTTTCGATGCGATGCTTGCCGGCGCTGTTGACACTGCACCATTTGACGCGGTGGTGGCATTCGGTGCTGCGCAATCCATCGTGGAGCCTCTACTTCCTCTTGAATGACGGTGATGGTAAATGGCAACAGGTAAAAAAGAAGACATATGTGACACACTGTAATATATCCCATAGACGAAAATGGAAGCAATACTGATTTTCGTTCTACAAGCAGTCTAAAGAATTGACTTCTCTTGTTTTGTTCCTTCCTTCAAACTCCTTCTACTCAAATGCTCCTACACGAGAGGCTTGAATGTGAGGAGTGGCGAGGGTGCCGAGCATTTAAAGCAAAACTTCCTGTTGCTCCGGTTGATGCCTTTGCACTTTGGACATGTCCAGAGCGTTACCTCCTTGCCCGGCAGCGGAGGTGGCGCCGGTTTCGGCTGCTGACACTTATGGCACACAACGCTTCCTCGGAAGTTCATCTGCCCGCACGGACACGCCCAGTCGTGCGGGTCCTCGCCGGGCAACGAAGGCCGACGAACGCCAGGCGGAAGCGGCGGGGCAGGCGCGCCGCACTTGAAGCACTCGCGTTTAGACTTATAATTTAACTCACCGCATTGGCACAGCCAGTCACCCTCCGTCGGCTCACGGTGCCTCGTCCGCCTACCTTTGATTCTCCGCCCCAGGCAACACGGCGTGACCGCAAGGTACGCACGGGAACAACAGCCCAACGTGACAGCCTGCGTGGGGCCCTGGAAGCGCCGCAGCAACGCCGTCCCAACAAGTGAGGCGATGCGGTTTTGTATCCGTATCCCTCCGCCTGGCATTCTTTAACGTTACGGACAGCAAGAGAAGCACACAGGAGGTGGAAGAGGGAGAGGGAGAGGGAGAGGGAAAGGGGGAAAGGGAAAGGGGGAGCGGGAACAGACGGAAGAAGAAAGAAAGCGAAGAGGAAAGAGGGGAAGGAAGTTGTAGCCAAAGAATAGGGCATAGGTGGCGGCAACGGCAACAACAACAACAATAGCAGCAAAAAGAAGGACGAACCAGAGTGGGGAAGGGTGGGAGAGTCAACAAAGACAGCTTGTTATGATCGTGGAAAAGTATTGAAACTCCTTTGCAAACAAGTTGTTGTTGCCCTTATGAACAAAATCTCCAGCACTTGACGCCAAGAGCGCAAAAGCAGCTCTGACCTCAGCTTCCTTCCCCGTTACCGCTGCAAAGCCGGCAAACACGGTTGCCAACTGCGCAAAGGAGTTCTCATCCAGTGCTATCAAGTTTCGCAAGGGGGTTTCAGTCACGGACGATGAGCACTTCTTCGACACGATGACGTCGAGCATCAATCGTAGCAGACGGGAGATAATTCCCTGGTCACCTTGAAGAAGGGAGGCGCGAATGAGCTCACAGCATCTTGCGTCTTCACCCTCTGTGTGACACAATATACTCGTAAACGCTCCCAGGGCTTCAACGGTAAGTGAAACAAGAGGAATCGCATTTGAGATGTAATATCCAAGAGAAGACTCCAGTAGTTGAATGATGTGAAGAAGATTGGTTGTCGGTACCTCACTAAGAAACCATAAATGAAAATCTTTAAAGAGATCACCCAGGAGCGTGAGGTAGGCTTGGGCCAGTTTCTCATAATGGCACAGACGGGTGCGATCCACCACCATTATAGCTTGCCAGAGGGATGCCAAGCATGTCATCAGCGCTGGGTCTTCGTAGAGACGGAGCACTCCCAAGTTGCAGTAGCCACCAGTAAGAATATTGCGGCCTGTACGAAGCATAATTCGAAGACATTTGATACCCCATTCCTCGAGTCGCAAGTCACCAGACTCCAATGCCCCCATAACTAAATGCACTGCCGCATCCATAGAGCCACAGACGTAACGAAAAAGATGGTAACCCTCCACACCGTTAGGACCAAAGTTTACACGACGGTAGCGGTTTTCAGTGATTTCGTGAATCAGGCGTAATATCTGGACGCCGCACACAGTACCTGACCGTCTTTGAAGCTCTTGCGTCAGGAGAGGTAGACTAGGAGAGATGTGCCGAAGCAATACCTTGTACTCGTTCTGTCCCACACATGCGTGGAAGACACCCCGCCAAGAACAGACAACAGCTGTAAGGGGGTCACAACGGATATCAACAGGGATCATGCCTTCCTTCAGATTTTTCTGCAGCTCCCCAACCAGGGGTAGTACGCGATCACTCCATGAGGATTCCGAACCAGAACACATGAAGTGAACCTGAGCCCGGATTCGTGAAAGATGATACCGTACTCGATAGAATACGGCAATGTCCTCAGACGCCCTCACCTTTCCAACGTCAAGCACTAAACGATCATCAAATTGTGGCAATGCCTTTAAAAAAGCAGCTGTCGAAGGTGACTGTGCCATCTCACTCAGGAGACCAAGTGCCTCAATCGCCGCATCATCGGTGCAACAGTGAACACACTCCATGACCTCGTCCACAACAAGACGCAGTAGAAATTGCCCAAGTGCATCTTGATTGGCCAGGGAAAGAGATATCCGGATAGACTCTCGCAGTTTCCTCGCCTCGTCTACTCTATCCAACAAAATAATTTGCCACGCAACACGTAGGAACGTGAGAAGGGACTTGTGAAAGTGGCGGCAGATAGCTTGCGGCACGGAGCGCGTGAATGAAAATTGGCAACTCCGCTGGACAACGTCAACGCAGGCGCGCAACACAGCAGAGTCCAGTGTCCGCGCGTTGCGACTGTAGCGGTATGCGCTGAGCCATGAACCGGCAAATCTTACAATGCATGCCAATCTCTCGCACATACACGACAGCTGAGATGCCGTCATAGCTTCCGGTGCTTCAAGTAGAGCGAGCGACGAGCAAACCTCTTGGAGAAGGTATTCTTCCGCCTTCTCACCACAGAAGCGTAGAAGCTGCGACGCAAAGTCAAATTCCATTGACACCGCTTCGGCATCGATGTCAAGAATGTACTCCTCAAACCAAGCCGTCTCCCCTTCCATAACGAAGCGCACCGCCTGCTCTTGGTTCGACAGTATGTACGAGATGCAGACATCGGGTGCGAGCACTTCAAAGAGTGTATGTCCATTTTTGCAGTACGATTGGGAGCCAACTAGCTTGGCCCAAATGGATGTCAGTGAGAGAAACGCCTGGCGGGCGTGGCGCCAGTTGTGGAAGCACAACTTGGTGAATTCGGCGACCTCCCGAACCCACCGCTCATAGCACGGAGCCTTTCGTAACTCCTCAATGGTAAAATTCGGTTTCACACGATTTAGCAATCGACAGAAACCACGCAAAACTGATGCCTCTTCCAAATGAAGACGGGACTCCATGATCGACAGCGTGGCTGAAAGTATTGACACCATCCACCCGGTGTGTTGCTCTTGAGAGAGGTACAGTGACGGCTTCAGCGAAACAAGTGGTGTCAAAGTTTCCAAGACGGCCCTGTAGAATTGAGGGTCGCTTCCTGTGGCGCTGTATAACTCCCACAGCCGCGAAAACAACCCCTGATCAATAAGATCGTTGGCCCACTCCTGGGGATATTCCCGCGTCATCACATCCTCTGTTGCTTCATCCATGGAGCAGGCGAAGTCGAACTGGAGGACTCTCTGTATCAACAATACGACACTGTAATTGGCTCTATCATGTGTGCGATGAAGCCGCTGGAGGCAGTGTGACGCAGCTCGAAACACAAGTAAGAGACAATCATTGCGGAAACTAGTGATCACTCGCTTGTGAGTAGCAATGCTCCGCACCACATTTCCCGCATTCTCCATCTCGTCAATTAGGCAGACAAGAATGGAGCACGACAAGGAAATGTGCTCGTCGGAAAAGTCGCCCGATTCCGCCACCAACGCTGCCGTCACCTTGGCAGGGAATCCCTGAAGCTCGGGAGCATCGCAGAAACCTTGCTTCACCACTGCACACAACAGACGAGTCAAAGCATCTACGCTGAGGGAGCTTAGGGACGCGTGCCGCTGTACAATCACCGAACTCAGAAACACCTCAAGTGCCACAAGATCCTCTGGCCCAAGGTGGGAGTCGACCAAATGACGCAGGGCTTGGGAGACAAAGAAGATAGAATACTGAGAGGAGGATTGCTGCATTACATTTTGCATCAGCACCGGCCCCATCGCACTAGCCATTCCCATCCATCCGAACTCGGTAGCGACCTGCAGCGCGGCCTTGTCCCCATTGTACAACAAAGCTGAGAATTGCTCCACTCCTTCGACGGTTACAAGCCTGTTGATCATCGCGCAGTCTTCCGCGGATACACGGCAAAAAGAAAAATTGTGAAGCAAATAGGAAGAAGAGAAGATGCACAAAATCAGAGGCATAGACTCAAAATAAAAGCAACTTGAAGCGCCTCATTTGTGCATGCACACCATCTCCTCAGAACTGCGCAACAAACAAACAAGAGAAAGGACGGAAAGACACAATGGAAACCCAAAAGAGTGACTACAAATAACTGCACACACACACACACACACACACACACACACGGAGATCCCATCACGCAACTATTTCAATACTCCATGCGCAGCGGGTTATCTTCGCTTGGCCGCTGCGCCGCCGGCACGTGAAACCCGCTCGACAGCACCTCCCGCCCGTAGGGAGTTTGATGCAGTCCCGCCTCCATCAACGCGAGTTGAAGGCGGAACCGCGGGTCCCTCATTATATCATTCACTGTGTACCCATGCACGACGCACTGAGCCGCCTCAGAGAAAGAGACGTACGGCACATTTTGTTGACTGGAGGCGGTTCCCTGAAGCACCCGGCCTGCATCACAGGTGACTCCCAACTTCCGTTCCACGCCCTTAAAAAAGGCTTCGAGTGTCTTTTCACGGGCCGCCCTAAACTCCTCCGCTTCCTCCTGGTGCCTTCTTCGCACACGGCACTTTTCCTCATACTCTCGCTTCCGTTCCTCCACCCGCTTTGCGTTGTGCTCTCGCTCTATCGCCTTCTTGAGGGCCTCTTCCTCTGCCATCGCCTGCTGAACAGCGCGCTCCTTTTCCTGTAGTTGCCGCTGCTGCTCCTGGTACTCTTGCAGCCGCTTCAGGCGCTCTTGGAATTCCGCCTCACGCAGGCGAAGTATCTGCTGTTGTTTTTCTTCTTCTTCTGTCCTCTTTGCTGTTTCTTCTTCACGCCGCGCAGCATCTCTTGCGTCACGCACCGCACGAAGTCGCTCCAGCTCCTCGTGTGTCTTCTGCTGACGCTCTTCACGCTGCTTCGTCTCTTCTGCCATGCAAATCTGCATCTTCATAACATCTTCCTCAGCGGAAATGGCCTTTTCAAACGAATCCAGAAGCTCCGAAGACTTCTTCTTGTACTGAAGCGCTACGGACCGCACACGCAGACGGTCTCGCTTTTGCCGAAGCACTTCATTGACAGCGAGTCGCACCGACGGCGCAGAGGCGTGCGGAAGAACCTGCTGAACGCGGTCGTACACATCCTCCGTGACAACCGGCGTGGCGCCGACACCACTCCCCATGGCACTATCATAGGTTCTCAGAATTAGAGAAACGGTGCGAATATCGCTTGACGTCAACATATGGGCATTCATCTTATCTCGTCCCGCTACCACCTGAGACAATGCCTTTTCTTCTTCCGCCTGCAACGCGCCTCGGTACGTCTCGATGAGACCAACATGCAGGCTTTCCTTCTTGGTTTCACAAATCTTTGCAAACGTCTCCATCACCGACTGCGTCAGTCCCTCAAGTGTCTTTGTCGGTGCATCCTGCTTAGGCTCCTCTTCTCCCTCCTCCACCTCTTGGTCGACAACCCTCTTCGCCTCCGCGTTTTCTTCCCGAAGCTCCCAGAGCCGCGCTCGCAGGGCCGTAACGGCCTCACGCGATGCCTCGCCGCTCGGTGGGCGCAAGACGTGGAGGTCCCTCCGCACACTCTTGAGACGCGCCCCCAGCCAGCGCGACAGCTCCGCGCAGCGCTGATCCTGCTCCGCCCACTCTTTCAGCAACACCTCCGGTAGAAGGGCTGCACACGACGCCCACGCCTTCGCCAACTCCAGCCCAGCCGACATTGTCTCGCGGTCAAGTGCAGTGCGCTCTGCGAGCCAGCGCCCACCGCGCTCCGTGGTTGTTGTGGACTTTTTCTGCCTTTCAATTCTCGAGGCAATGCGGCGCAACTTTTCCCCATCCTGCCGCGCTTTTGCGCGCCACTCCGTGAGCGCCGCCTCCTGCTCTTCCGCCGACGAGGCGATAATGTGCGACCGATGGCGCAACGCCGCAGACGTCTTCCGCGGTGGCATCTGTGTGCTGTACAGGGAGGGACGGCACGCAAGAAAGTGAAAAAACAGTGCGAAGGGAGCGAGAAGAAGAAAGGGAGAAAATACACAACGTCAAGCATTTTAAACATAAAAACGAAAAAATACGTGGAAGAAAACACAAAATGATGTGGGTATCTCTTCCACCAACGGCACACCACAGCCTTTTCCTCCCACTTTCCGTTTCTTTTTCGCTTCCGGAACACCATATGAGCACAAAGCGCCTCCATCAAATGAGGGAACAGGGACATGAAGTTCCATCAGTTGATGGCATCAGAAAAAAAACGGCCGCAGCCGTGGGGCTGCCACACACAAGGCCCCGGCACAGATTATAACTTATCTGAGGTTGCGTCTGGCCTGCCCATGACGACCTTTCCCTCTGGGGTCAACTGGCAGTCAACCTTCCCAGACAGCAGCTCCTTGCTTTCCTCAGATATGCCAATGGGAGTGAGATACCGTATTTTCTCACGCGCCTCACCTGAACCGCAGCAAAGGTTTCGGATAGCGAATTCTGCCCACTCTACCATGCCAGGGTTCTCCTCGTCGAACCGCGTCCCCGTCAGAATAGCAGAGAGGAGTGCAGAATTGCCCACAACGGAAGAGCACACCTTTTCATTATCATGCGTCAAATTTGCTATTAGCCGAATATGCTCTGTTCTGTATCCCTCTTGAAAAAATGCGATTTCATGCTCTCGCGAAATGCTCAATGCATCCGTGATATAAGTCAAAACTTCGCACTCAAACAGGTACGCCTGTAGTGCCTTGACCAGTCGCGGATGAGATACCAAAATGAGACAAAGGAGCTCCACAGCGGTATAGGAAATCCTTGCGCCCGTCTCTAGCCATGCCTCTGAGCCGTCGCTGAACTCTTCCACACTGCTGTTCCGTTGAAGATTATCCACATCCGTATGACCTGCGCTGTTGTTTGCTGCCTCGCTGGAACCACCACTTTTCTCAGAGGCATATTTATTCTTGAGGTGCTTCCTCGTGCGCTGCAGTATATGGGGTGCAACGTTCAAAGCGAGGTCAGCCATCCGCTGTAAGATACGCTGGAAGTGAATCATCTCTTCACCTTCCTCCCTCTTTGCTTGAAAAGCCGCCTTGTCCACAGCCTGTTCCAACTTGAACTTTAGAGAATAGTTTCGCAGCTCATTTTCTGTCTCGCAAAGCATTAGCAGCGTATCCACTTTGGAGCTGATGAGCGGAAGCACCTCCGCGTCGGCCTCCTTTATAGAGCCCTCGTGCCCTGACATTTACTTTTACTTGGGCACAGTGCGCTGGTAGGCAACATTGCAAGAAGAAAAAAATGAATAAAGTGAAAGCGTACAGCTGTGACTAGAAGACTGATATTCTCAGCACCCATGAGGTGCATACACACAAGCACACCCTTTTTCCCCCGTTCCTCCGCATGTGCACACACCAACAGGAAAGAAAAACCAAAAGATGATAAGGACACGTTCCACTCACACCCTTCCCCCCAATGAATATATATTCAGTGCCCGTTTTTTTTTGTACGAATCCCCAACCGTGGCTACTACCTGCTGCAATGCGTCGTGTAGTGCAGCATCTCAGAGGACATGGCCAGTCATGGGAGTTAATGGATTTGGCACACACAAGAAACCCTCTGAGGCGCAGATCCAACGCCAGCAGCTCATACGGGGGACTCTGTTTATCGATTGGCACCGCACCAAATCATTGTCACAAAGTTTAAAATGGCACTCTCTTACTTTACATGCGGCTCACAAAGGGAATTTGAGCAATCTGTTAGCTTCCCCTTATTCAGAATGGCTTTAATATTGAGCAAAGATCCCTTTAGTCTGGCCACTCTTGCTCACAGCAGTCGACGCCAATGGCTACGATTCGGCAGCGGAAATCGGAAAGTTATTTGCAGAAGGCGTGAACTCAGCGTTCATCCACACACTTGTCGTTCGTTAAAAAGCAACAAAAAAAAAGAAAAGCGAACGCAGGGATGCCCGGAAGCAGTCACCAATAGTGCATATGGGAAGCTCCCGTACAACTCACGAGGAGCTAGTCTTTCCTTTCCAGTCAGTGATAAGCGCGGCGCAGTCCCTTGCTGGGCATCTTCATCATATACCTTCATGGGCTCACCTTTCGTAACGAGTATTGTTGGGTGTATTTGAAAGCTCTGAACACTTCCGTCATCTTCCATGGCCAAGAGCACAAGGTGGTGACCATCACCCAAAACACTGCTGTAATAGAGGCACACTCTGACTCTCATGCCACACTTGAGCACGGGAGCTTCGCCCACGAAAAAAAAAAGACGTACACACCCAATCTTTGTTTTCTTCGTCGGGCAAACAAGAAGCACACAAGCACACACATGGAAGTGGAGAGAGCCTCGCAGCACAGACAGGCGAAAAAGGCTAACAACAGCTGTGTTGTCATTCCTCTTGTCCGAATCTACAGGAATCGCCACTGTTAATATCTCACGGGCGCCCAATAAGGACAGCAAAGCACGCTGACGGATCGCATCATAAACACCGGAGCGTGTACAAAAAGAGAGGCCCTTCAGCACCACCTCGGGTAACGGAGCATCGGTAGAAGGTATAACTTTACTTGTGTCCAACAACAAAACCAGGCCTGACGCTGTGCCAGGCAGACAAAACAATAATAAACGCTCATCGACCATCATTTTCAGATCTGTGTTGCATCCCGGGATGCAGCATGGTAATGCGTCGGCTACCAGTTTGCCCCGCGGAAGGTGGGGAGGAAGAAGAAACAGGCCGCTCCTACCGATATCATAGACGCGCAGAGAGCAGTACATCTCGTTACTATTCACGTCATGTATGAGGATAGCAACTCCCAGGCTTGCTCCTGCGTAGTCGATTGCGACAAAGTGTACTACTTCCATATAGCACTCCGGCTGAGCACAAAACGTATCGCCGCGCTAAAGTATCGGCCCCGCAAAAAATGACTCCAGAAGCGAAGAAAGGCGCACACAAGAGGGGCTGTCAATACTCAGCTGTTCAAAATCAAAAAACAGCACTCCATAAAAGACCGATACAAACGGCCACCAGGAGTCGAGCGAGCCTTCATGTCTTACCATTTCAGTGTCTTGGCACCTAAACAGTCATCAAACCAAAAAAAAGACCAAAATAGAACAAGATTCGTGATCAAATGCGTCAAATGTACCTCATCCAGAAAAGCAAGAATAAAATAAGCGAGCAACTTTGAGCCTACGTGTGCCATTGTGTCCAAGGAAGAACCAAACTAGCGATTGAGTCTCACCAGGTCCTCTCTTTCAAACAGGAGCTCCCCCTCTTCAAGGCATCTTACATTCCTCTCAACGCCCTACGTAGCGCCCAGAAAGATATGCAACCGCATCCTAATCCCAGTCGTTTTTTTTTTTCGATTAAGAAGATAAGAGAAAAACAAATTCAGTGTGTATACTAAGATGTATAGACTCTGTTTGCGCTTATCCCCTGAAGGGCGTGAGCCAAAACTTCTTTCAGACGTGTATCTTTCAGCACGATATTCACGAGATTAGAGCCAGCGAGCAACTTGTTTTTTTTTTCTAACGGAGCGCGAATCACTCATCTCATGTAGTGTTGAAGGCAAACAAGCCTTGAGACACCAACGACCACAAAAAGGGACGGCGGACAACACATGAGACGTCACCGGCACCACACCGTGTAGCCAATTGGGTGCGCCACGCACGACACACTATACAACACCAGATGGGCCCCGGAGGGAGAACAAAACATGACAACGTAGTTTTCCCTGCAAAATGCCACCTACGCAAGGCCTCGGTAGCACTTGATTTTATGCATTTCGGCAAGCCAGTTTTATTTTTGTCTTTTACTTTGAACGGTTGTTGAAGCGTGACCCCACACCTTTACAAGTAGAAGATGGAGGCAACTGTTCTTCCTTCCGAAATTCCTGCAGCTTCACTCCAGATGGATTAGCTTCGAGCAGTGCTCGCCCTGGCCCATCAACATAGTACTTGGGATTGGGGCACGAAGGGACCTCGCAGTAGATTGGCAGCGTGGCCACCCACTCTCCAGATGCGCGGAATCTATGCCCACAAGGGCACTGCCATTCGCGCTCGTCAAAGAGCTTGCTCGTCATCTGCATTGCTTGGCTCAGCGCATCCTTGAGTGACGGTGGGGCACCCGATGAGGTTGTGAGGGCATTCCCAACCTTCTGCCCTGCCTGACGAGAGACGAACGTTTTGATTTTGTCGAGCATACTCTCTATCACAAACGAAGCATACAACAGAAAAGAGACGCAGCAAATTTTAAAGAGAAAATTGAATCCTTGCAGACTTACTGAGCAACTCAGCATTGATATGACTCTCACGCAGAACGTGACAAAGAGGTCAGCAAAATAACGTCACCTCGCAGGGCCACCCTTCCCACCCTCAGGGAAGAAGAAATCGTAACCACGTCGGGCCTTCTCCCAGGCGCGCCGCGCACACATCTTGAACGCGTACTTGTACGATACCTGCGCCTGCGCTGCATCATGACGCCTCGCAGCCTCCACCTTCTTCAGATCAATTGCATACGGATGGCGCAAACTACCCCCACACCGTCTGAACATTGCGGACCGTACCCCGTGCCAAAGATGGTCCCGTGCCCCCTCGCTCAGCCGTTCTTTTTATATTTCTTCCTCATTGGAGCAAAAAGTTGCAGGACACAAAGGAAAACAAAAAATGACAATTAGATGCGTCATCTTTTTCTTTGTTCAGTTGCAACCACCACAATATCCACATCACACTGCTCCAAAGATTCAATGCAAAATGTTTCATTTTTGTACACCGTACGAAAGCAACGCCGCAAAAAAGCCCCCCACACACACACTGTGCCCCAAAGACAAGCGCCAACCAAGAGATCATCCTGTCGCGACAACAGGCAGTGGTCCCCGTGTCCCACGCGGCACACAATACAGGATTCTTCTCCACGCCACTGAGCAATCACCAGGAAGAACAACAACACGCCATTCATGTCACCAGGCATGCAGGATGCACCTAAGGCTTCAACATTATGCAGCGCCAAGCCTGAAGGACGAGCGGGTGGGAACTTTGAGCTAGTTCATCATCCAATGAAACAAAACCTCTTATAAACAACAGAGTACAACAGACAGGAAATCCAGGCGAATGAAATAGCACTCGCACAAGCAGAAGCACACACAGAGACACACACCTCAACCGTGGGGAAGCCCCATCGACAGCGCAATACAAGAAAAATTATATCAATATTAACACTCGGGTAGATATATATATTTTTTCACAGGATGGGCCTTACCTCATGGAACACACAGGTCAGCAACAGATAAACGCTTACCACCACCAAACAAAAAGGTGGCATTTGCATTGTTTTCGTGAGGATTCACCACAAACATATCCTCAAAAAAATGCCAGCGTCGCTTCTCTCTGATGTGACCGGAACGAAAGGTGTAAAAGAACCGTTACAACGCCCCGCACTCCGACCACGAATTCAACGGCAACTTCACCGTACATAGTAAACATTAGGGAAAAGGGCACCTCCGTAAAAGCGGTAAGGGGGAATTGCTGGGATCCACACCGGCACGCAACGAACACACTAAGAAGGAAAAACAAACTGAATGTATGAAGGATGAATCCAACAATAGTGTGAGACACCTTTATATATGTGGTTTGCGACTCTATTCACTGCTATACGCATCGAACAAAGTAAATATTTTTCCTTTCCGTTCCCATTCCAATGAAACATTTCCTGCAACTCCTAACATGCGAGAGGGGGTCTTTGACGGTTTCCACGTGCGCCAAATAATAAAATGACCTTAAACCTCAGTTGCACACAGTAGTCGGCAGTGGCAAAATAAAAACAAACAAAAACACGTCTTCACAAGGGAAAACAACGAAACACGATTCACCAATTTTGTATTTAGAAGCTGGCCACCACCAACTTCCATGTACCTTCATTTCCCAAGAAGCAGGCCTGTTTTTATAGGAAGACGCCTACGGTTTGCTCGCATCCCAAATCGACCAGCGCAACATTCTTTTTTTGCGGTCTCACCCCTTAACCGAGGTACTCTGTATCCTTCTCCAATTAACAGCATGAGCCCCGTACCACGCAGAGACGGAAAAGCACACCCTTCATGAACGCCTGCTTTCCTCCCCAACATCATAGTACATCAATCCCTCATTCCACAATCACGGTCAACACATGCCCAATAGGCAGAAAAAAAAAACAGCGTCACCATCTTATCCAAACGCTACGCGGCTACACCGTAGATGGAGGCTCCTGTACCAAATACAGTTGCAACCACACCAGCAAAGAAGAGTA